GGAGCAAAACTGGTCGGTGAGAGACACAACATTTCTACTAGAAACTTTGAAAGAGCTCAAAATGATCTGTATCACCTGTAGCTCAGTCAGGGAGTGCAGTAACGTCTCCACCATCATTAAAACCTGTCGCGGGTCCATTTTGGGTGCTCAGGTTTGTTTACGTTCACCCCGGAAGTAGAACTTATTGTTCTGTGTTTTTTTTAAGGAGAGTTTACCACTCTGCGCATGTCAGTACTGCTGTTCAGAACAAAGCCCGCTGCATGTAAATGCTTGTCATGAAGAGATTGTGCCGATGTAAACAATACATTTGAAGTATTCAAACAGAACACATTTCAATCCGGTCAAAGAATTCTGCACATGTAAACATAGCTATTGGTTCTGCGCTGCTTACGGGACCTGGCTAGCTAATGGTTTTTCAGCAGTGTGGAGCCAAGCTTCCAATGCAGACAGCCTCTCCTCAAAGCTACCATAACACTACATTTATTACAAGTACCATTACCGCTAAAGGCAGAGGAACAGATGACTATCTGACACACAGAGCAAGTGAGAACAGAGGAAGCTGGGAGAGAACCAGAAGCCATGCTAAGCTAATACTCGCAAGCGCTAGCAGATCCCAAATACATGTCTATGCCCAAATATACCAATGAAAAATCAAGAAGTGTTGAAAGACAAAAGGTGACTCAAGCACAATCCAACAGTAGAAAAACAACTGTATCCAGGGTGTTTGTGTACTACAATGTAGAACTATGCACAAGATAGATAAATCCAGTAAAACAAAAGAGCAAACAAATTACTCCAACCACCAGCAGAGAAAACAGGAAGTGACAATATGCCTTACCACGAACGTCCTCACGTCCTTTACAATAGCTATTACTCTCTGAGAGTGTCACTGAAATCTAATCAGTGGTTCTTGTTACAGCACCTACAATAAATGCTAAAATTTAAGAAAAGTTGTGCAATGCCTAGTGCTGGGGGAATCTGTTGTGAATTTGACTCAGCTACTACCTTAAATGAATTTAAGATAAATAATTGTAAAATTGCAGCACGATAGCTCAGTTGGTGGAGCTGATGCCTCTCAGTGAGAAAGTTGCTGGTTCAAATCCTGGCCAGGGAGACCTTTCTGGGTGGAGTTTGCATGTTCTCTCCGTGCATGCCTGAGTTTTCTCCAGGTACTCTGGTTTCCTCCCACAGACCAAAAACATGCATGTTAGGCTGATTGGTAACTCTAAATTGTCTCTAGGTGTGAGTGAGAGAGTGAATGGTTGTTTGTCTCGTTTGTCTCTGTGATGGACTGGAGATCTGTCCAGGGTGTCCACTGCCTCTTGTACAGTGATGGCTGGACATGGTCTGTGGCAGCCATTTTGAGTTGGATTGGCTCCAAAAGTCAATTGTTGTACGTTCTGGTTACATTTTGAGTCCCCCCCCCCCCCCCCCCCCCCCCCCCCCCCCCCCACACACACACAAAACCAGTATTCCCCTTTTGCCTTTGGCAAAGACTAATAAACACAGCGGGACCTGACTGGTGTCTGTGCGAGACTGTGGTCTTTCCGGTGTGGTTAGTTTTATTCAGCAGGTGAAGCATGTTTACGTGGCAGCAGTCTCCTAGCACCTCATGAGCACATGACCCTGTGGTTGACAGGGCGTTGCGGTCAAACCTGTTGCTAATGAAGGCTTTACATAAGCTAATGTTTAACCACTAAACAACAGGGAGTGTCACTATGACACATTGGTTACCAATTCAGAAGTCATTTTCCCTGGCTTTTGAAGGCTGAAGTGTTTCTAGGATTTCTAAAGTTTAGAATGATGAGCTGCCTTGAAACAACCTCACAGTGAAAATACTGACCAGCCCAATGACATACTGGACAAATATTAAACACACTTGTGTATTCAAGCTGATATAGAGTGTATCTCACACATTTTTATGGCTGCAACACAAAAAAAATTGGATGAAACAACAAAAGCAGCCAGTGATCCAAAACCTGACAGATTTGTGTACCTGTAATCTGATAAGCCATTTATTGTATCCATGTTGTATTAGTAGTTGTTCTTAAACACTTTTAGCTAAGCTTTTGATACGTTTAGCTTTTAGCTCATGTTTACCTTCCTTTACCTTTACCAACTCAGTTTTAGCTTATTTAGCAAATTTAAGCAAAGTCATTTACCTCTCAGCATTCAATTCAACTTCTTTAGTTTTTCTACCATTGGAAAGGTTCCCTCCCTTCCACAATCAACTGTTAAACCGCATATCTAAAATTACAAGGATTTTGAAACGTATTTGGAAAAAACATGATTGTTACAAATATCTTGTGAAATTTTAAGAAAAACAATGTTTTTAGGAAATCAAAACAGGATGGATTAAACATTTGAGGCTTTGTTAAAATGCCTCTGATTATCTTGGAAAGAACAACAATGTTCTAATATCTGAATGAACCTTAAACCCAAACCCCCGACAGTGGATGGAGACAGGAAGGGAGTTGACTGTGTAAAGGAAGGACTTCCTTCCACTTCCTCTCTGGTGGAAACTGGTATAAACTGGTGTGAACTCTCTCTTCCTCTGCCATCCATGAACACGTTATTATGAGCCATAAAGCAGCTCAGTTCATCAGCTATGTCATCAGTTTTATTTTGGGTTGAAACTTCTTTCTTTCTCGTTTTATCATCAGCTGACCAGTGATACAAAAAATAAATAAATAGCTGTGGCGCCAAAAATGTGTCATCAAGTCTGTGATCTGCTGAGCAGTGAATAATCAATACGATCCCTGATGAGACATTGATGACATGTAGGAAAACACATGACTGAACCGGTACAAAGCAGTCAGCTTGCCTCTGATAGCTTCTCAAAGGCCCAAGGCGGTGTAAGAACATGATCATTAAAGTTCTCACCAAACTAGTTATGCTCTGCTCTGAGAAGCAGGAAGTACCTCTGTACATCTCAGGAGGATCCCTGACTTACAACCATCAAAATTAAGTCCAAACCATTTCTGAACAGCTTTAATTTAGTCATTCTTTCCATTTACGTTCTAATGATACATGAATACACAATGAATGCCAGATCATGGATGGGTTCTGAGACTCTACAAGAATTTCAGTTATCTCCTTTGTCTTTATTTGACTAGAGGAGGAAAAAAAAAGGCAAGAGTAAAATTACAAAAAGAATACCACCTGAAATTAATAACTTATTACTGACATTGTTGACAAGTCTTCTTTATAGGAAGTTGTTGACTTGTTTGGCTGTCTGAAAATAATGGGCTTAACACGGTATTCAAGATGGAAACCAGTTTAGGTTGTGTCTCACTGGGCTGCGATTCCAGAGGCATGCATCCTTGTTAAGTTTTGAACGTTTCAAAAAAATCGTTGCCAAGTCATTGTGAGTGTCTCAAACACGGCTTGAATCCACCTGAATCATAGGAAAACTTCAGGATGTAAAAGCCCATGATGATGGTCAATAATAATTATTGAAAAACTGGGACAAATCTGACCATCTTCATTTCAAAGTGTAATTTAGAAAGATTAAATAAAAAATATGGCAATGGCTGGAAAGGTGAGCACAAAACAAGCAGAGGCAGGAAACAAAATAACGTGCATGGAGAAGAACGTAGTTTTCTAAGCCATGAACACAAAATTAGGCTGTGATTTTCAAAAACTTGCTGTTCAGAACATGGACTCGAGGCTTGTTAGTCGCTTGACGCAAACACTCAGAGTTCAATGAGAGTGCAACGGAACGTTCACCGATAGGTTTTAAATTTTCTTGCCATTTTTCAGCTAGTTTCTAAACAGTAGCAGCTCAGTGAGCTACAACCTTAAACAAGCAAACAAAACTCGAACACAAAAACCAGAGAGACAACTGGCTCAACTGGTCCTAAAAACTAATAAGATGAAAAATCTTGTTTGTCAAATCTCTAAAAACAAAAGGTGTAGAACTGATAAACTGAGCAGGGATGCTGCTCTTATTGTCACTCGTAAATGACCAAACAATTTCACAACAATCTGATGGATTAGACAAAAATCCCAATGTAACTAAGTATAATCATGTATAAATTATATAATAATAGACAAATTGACATCCAGGTACATTAGTGTAGTCTTCATATTTATAAGCCCCATATGTAAAATAAAAATCTCGTCTTTTGACCTTTGCTACATTTACCTGACAGCTTATGTCTCAACTTCCGAAAGTCTGGTATCGAAAACTTATAAAGAACCTGAGATACTCTGTAAAGCAGATTCAATATTATCATTATTTTGTATATTAAACAGGAACAAAACAACACTGTTAAAAAATAAAACAAAATGCTATAAATAAATATCAAATATTGTATTATATTCAATTATATTGTATTATATTGAATTGTATTGTATTATATTGAATTGTACTGTAT